ATTATTAATAATGTAAAATTCAGATACAAATTTGTTCTATTTTTCAGGTAATGTTAATATAATTCTAGGTAGCATAATTACAAAGCAGGCTTTAATTAACCACAAACATATAATCCCATAAAAAATAGATTTTTTATTAATCATCTTTATTGTTATTTATGTACAGTAAAGCATTATTCAGCATCTTTTATATTTCTCAGTTTACTTTTCATTTTTTTTATGTAGATTAATTAAATACTTAATTAATCTTCAAAAAGTGCTTACGAAATCCATAATTTTTATGTTTGAAAATAATATTTTTACATGGTTAAAGACATTTTATCTCTAAATTTAATAATTGTGATAATTGATCTAATAATTTGTTAAAGGATGACAACATTCTCATAATCTCTGCTGATTTAATTAGTTAAATAACTTCCTTTATTATTCAAATATTAAATGAGATATGTATTGCGTTTGATTTTAGTCTCATTATCCTGTTATCTATTTTGAAAATAATTTCACCAAGATTAATTCCAATAGAGTGTTATTTCTCAAAAATATTTAATCCTTGTTCTAATGTCTGTAATTCAAAAAACCTTTTATTTAACTGATTTAATCAACAATTCAATTAAACTACTTTTTTGGTTTTCTTTTAATATTTTTAGTCTTTATGTAAAGTATCATTATATAATTCACACAAAATTTTTATTTGATCATTGAAGACTCAATTTAACGCTATCCTAGTTTATTGGAATTCATTCTGAGTTATTATTATGACTATTATTTGAGTTAACAATTTCAAAAGTCCCAATAATAAATAAATAAATAAAATAGACTGTGATGTCTACCATAGACAAATTTATAATTGAATTCGATGATTCTAATAATGAGTCAAAAAGAATGAATTTGATTTAATTAATCAGTTCTTNTTCTGTTTTGAGCTCTTATTATAAATATTTGGCATAACCTTTTACTTTTTTATTTAGAGAATTTTAATTCTCTAATGATTATATTAATATTTTAGTTTCACTAAATTAAGGTAATTTAAGTTGAATTAATTATCTTACTATAAAGTGATATATAAGGATCTATTATAAATTAAAGTGCTCAAATCTAAATCGATTGGAATAGTTTATCTTTTTTATGTGTGATTTGATAAAGAAATAAAGCAAATTATAGTTATAAATTATTATTGGACACAAAAAGGATTTTTCTTGGAATACAAAAGTGTTATGGTTATATTCTATATATTTTTTGATAATTGAGAATCTAATAAAACTATCATAAATATCCTAAAAAAAACTTTAAAATTTTCCACTCACTTAATCAAATCATCATTATTAATAATGTAAAATTCAGATACAAATTTGTTCTATTTTTCAGGTAATGTTAATATAATTCTAGGTAGCATAATTACAAAGCAGGCTTTAATTAACCACAAACATATAATCCCATAAAAAATAGATTTTTTATTAATCATCTTTATTGTTATTTATGTACAGTAAAGCATTATTCAGCATCTTTTATATTTCTCAGTTTACTTTTCATTTTTTTTATGTAGATTAATTAAATACTTAATTAATCTTCAAAAAGTGCTTACGAAATCCATAATTTTTATGTTTGAAAATAATATTTTTACATGGTTAAAGACATTTTATCTCTAAATTTAATAATTGTGATAATTGATCTAATAATTTGTTAAAGGATGACAACATTCTCATAATCTCTGCTGATTTAATTAGTTAAATAACTTCCTTTATTATTCAAATATTAAATGAGATATGTATTGCGTTTGATTTTAGTCTCATTATCCTGTTATCTATTTTGAAAATAATTTCACCAAGATTAATTCCAATAGAGTGTTATTTCTCAAAAATATTTAATCCTTGTTCTAATGTCTGTAATTCAAAAAACCTTTTATTTAACTGATTTAATCAACAATTCAATTAAACTACTTTTTTGGTTTTCTTTTAATATTTTTAGTCTTTATGTAAAGTATCATTATATAATTCACACAAAATTTTTATTTGATCATTGAAGACTCAATTTAACGCTATCCTAGTTTATTGGAATTCATTCTGAGTTATTATTATGACTATTATTTGAGTTAACAATTTCAAAAGTCCCAATAATAAATAAATAAATAAAATAGACTGTGATGTCTACCATAGACAAATTTATAATTGAATTCGATGATTCTAATAATGAGTCAAAAAGAATGAATTTGATTTAATTAATCAGTTCTTTCATTTCTATTATTTTGATAAAAGTTTCAATAGTTTTAGATATCAAAACTAAGATTGAATGAAATAGATAAATTAATGAAATTTATGGTGGTTTCGATCAGATCATCTAAGAATATAGTTTATGTGATAATTAGTTTGAAATAAATGTTGTCCATTATAATAAATATGATAACAAAAAAATATAAATTAGTTTATTAATAATGAAGAATCAAAAAATTTCTTATCTAAGTCATTAAAAAGATGCTCAATCTTTTATAATATTATATAATTCATTAATCAAATAATCTATTCTAAGAATTATTATGAATCATTTTTTAACAAGAACTAATTGAATGATAAGACACAACTAAGGTGTTTTATCATCCAATTAATTTTCATTAACTTTAATATAAAAGATTGTGATTAAATATTTAAGTGAATATTAAGTATATTCTTGATTAATTTACTTAAATTTATCAAATCTTAATTCATTAACTGATAAAGAAATAATATAAGAATAATTTCAAATTTGTTCATAAATAAATTATTTTTATTATTTAAAGTAAATATTATTGAATGACAATTTATAGTAAACATACATAATAAATAAGTATAAATAAATTTGTATTTGTTATCATCATTTAGTGATTTTATATAAAGTATCAGCAACTAAAATTTAATTATCTATGTATATTTAAAGTAATTATTTGTTGGGGTTAAAATCTTACGAATATAATTAATTCTTTAACGAAAAATGAATTATTATTAAATAAAAATCAGCAATAATTAGAAGTGGTGTAGATATTTTAAATGACAAGAAAAATTAAATTAAGCAAAAAAATTGAAATGCACAATGTATAAATTCTGTTATTATGAAAAATAATTACTAAAATAATGATTATTATTGATAAATATATTTATATTTAAATATTTTATTTAATAACAATCCATTAAATATACAAATATTAAGATTTATAAAAAAGACTTTGTATTTATTTTATGATCAAATAAAAATTTAATTAAAAATAAATTCACTCTTTTATCATTATGAATTAGAATTTTCTTTATTATATAAATCTAAATTATATAAAAACTAGATCAATTTTGAGTGAAGTCACAATTTATTGGGTTTTAAATTGTGATAGTTCTTAAATCAATTAAATTTGAAACTTTTTGCAAAGAATCTTTCCTTCTAATGAAGCCCAGAGAAATTTGCAATTTGTAATTTTATCACTCAAACATTGATAATCATAATTGATCTAAGTTTAGCATTTTTCCTAAAATGGTTTCCTTATTTTTTAATACTCTTTTAAACAGTAAAAATATCAATTAAATTAAAAAGTAAAAGGTAAAACAAGTGGAACTTAAATAACCTTATGAAAATAAAAGTTATCAGGACCAAATTGGAAAATATTTGATTATCAAATCATGTAAAACTAAGGAATAGGCTTGCAAATAATATTTTATATTTTTTAGTTAAGAAATAATTAATTTCAAAAAAGATTAAAAACTTTATAAAATTACAAAAAATAATCGAGTCAGAATTTTATATTCTTGATTTGGATCTTCTAATTCTTTTATTACTCCATATATCTTCTAATCATTATGTTCAACAATCATCTTAGTTACAGCAGAGTTTTAATCTATAGTGAATAAGTATTCTAATTCATTAATATTATAAGTTAAATTGGAAATATAATATGTTGTTTTCTACAAAAAAAATAATTTTAATTTTAAACTCCAATTAATTTATTTGTCTGTTTTCCTTAATTACTCATCATATTTTCCACTATAGATAATTTTGATATTATTTAATAATTGCATTATTTTATTTTTATTAATTCCTTCCATTAACTTATTTATATTCTATTCATAAAATCTCTTTCGAATTATTTAAGATCTTAAATTATAATGAATTATTAAAGTCAGATTTTGTTCAATGTTTTTATTGATTTGAAATAATAGTTTTCAAAATAGAAAATTAATTAATATTTTTTTCTATTCAATTTATTCGTTTATGCTTCTACTATCAATTATTTTTTAATTGAATTTTAGAAACTTGTAAATGAACTGCAAAACACTTATTATTTCCTTATCCTAATTCCCTATTCAAAAAAAAACTTAGAAAATGAAATCTAATAATTAATTAATTTTATAGAATATATTTATTATATCAAACTCAAGCCTTTAAAATTTAATTCTTATAATATAAATCTAATAATTTAATTAGAATTAAATAGAAATAATAGAAATGTTTCTGATAAAATTAAAGATCTTCTTGCTATTAAGAGGGTTGATTAAGATAAATAATTAATCAAATCAGCATAAATTTTACTTATTTTTCATATCCTATACTTAATATCATTAATCTAATCAATTTTTCTTTTTTATATCATTTTTTTTTCTGATTCCAACAAAGTCATATTTGATGATTTATTATCAGTTAATCTTAGATCTAGATTATCAATTTACAGTTATAAGTCTCTATTTAATTATGGAAATATCGGTTTTTCATGTTAATCTACAGTACCATTTTAAGTGGGAATTTAATAAGATCCTGGATTAGAGCAAACAATCTGAAAAAAATATAGTTTAATCTTTAAAAATCTTAATTTAACCTTTTCTAATTATATTTCTCTATTTATGAGAAGTTTTTTGAAAAATTGAATTAGAATTCTATAAATTTATATATGGATATTTCTGATTAATTTTATTTCTAATTTTCTCAAAGATTGTGTTATTGTTTTTCAATTCTGCTAATATTATTTTCCATAGAATAACTGAAATGAATGTTCATTTAGCCGAATGGGAAAGATATAAAAATGAAAAATTATATGATTGGTCTGCTTAATAGATTTTTATTGAAATTACTTTAGAAGCACCACAAATAAGCGTGCCTAATTCATAAATCAAATTTAATTAAGGAATATGTTAAGAATATTATTTTCTTGTCAATACTTAATATATAAAAACAATGGTAAACACATAAGCCCTTTTAATGATGATTAAATCTCCATAAAATGTTAAAAAGATAATAATGAGTCCCTTTTCAAGAATCTTGAAAATTTCCCAAAAGTAGCCTTTCTTTGATTATTCATTATTTAAAAAACCCAATTTCTTTTTAATGTTTTATCATAGAATCTAAATTATAATCTTAGTTTTTTTATTTGAATTGAACTTAAGTAATAGTATCGAAATTATTTAAGAATTCTTTTTCTCTTCCATTTTTGATTCCTCTGCTTTTAAGAGTACATTTACTTCCATCTAATGCTTTGATATGATTATTCTCTTTATCAAGAGGAATAATTCTAAATGTTAAATTTAATTGTATGTATTCTTGTATTTCTTCCATATAAATTTAATACTGATTTATAGGATACCACTAGGTATTATACTAAACTCCTTTTCTTATCCTTCAATTAAGTATATTTAAAAAAAAGTTTATTCATTAACTTCATCCAAATTTTTCTCTATTATTATTGTATCTAATAGCTTAGAACCTATTTAAAGAGTTAATATAATTGGGGAATCATCAATTTTATCTCTAAATAAAGTTATCTTATTATTGGAATAAACAGTATTGGTTTTATCTTCATTTTTGGATTGAATAGTTTGATAAAAATATAATTCCTCCAACTTTTGCTTCTTGTTATGAGAATAATGAATTAAAAGTTAGGAATGACCAAGATATTCAAGATACAGATCTATAAGATCTTCCTAAAGTAAATTATTTAACATTTATAATATCTTAAGAAGAAATCACTAAACAACTCAAAAGCCTAAATTAATTGTCTTCCATTTTTAATAAGTTTATATAAATGAGGTTTTAATCTAATTGTTCATCTACATTTGTAAATCTTAATAATCCTTCTTTACAATTAGAACAAATTATATTCTTAAAAATAATATTTGTTATTGTAAGAAAAGGATTAGATTAAATGGAATTAACTAAAATAATAATAAATCCAAGACTATTTCTTTTAGAAATGAATGCATAAAATATTATGAAAACTAACAATATTTTGAATTTCTTGATTTGAAAAATACTTTAATCTATTTAGTTGATTAAAGTGTATTAATGTATTTACAAAACAGTTTTAGAATAGAAAGTATCGAATCAGATGATTTTGAAACTGCTCCTACATTAACTAAATATTTACTCAATACAAATTAGTCAATTATTCTAAAATAAATAAAAAATCATACTTTTATTAAGTGTCAATTTAAGAATGCTTTCACTTATTAATGTTTAATTTTATATAACTAAATTATCTAATCTAGTAAAATGGGCATTCAATACTTCTATTTCCCACCATAATTACATATATTACAATCTTTAACAGTTTTATTACCTCTATCAATAGATATGAAATAATTATTAATTTTACTCTTGATTTCTTATTCACTTAATTTTTTTATTTACTTAGATAGGGTAAAAATCCTGTTTATGTTTTTAAATTGATATATACATAATATTTATATCTGACTATGATAAATTAATAAATAAAGTAACCTCCTTTAAATTTATCACTCATCAATAAATTAGCTTAAATGAAATCAAAATTAAAATTTAATTTCTAAATTATACCTTTAGATTAAATCCCAAAATAGAATGATCCTCCTTATAAGGCGATATAATTCTATCTTATTAAATTATTTAATATTATCTAATCTGCTTATAAATTAACATTACCGCCTTTTGATTAAATAGTAAAAATTTAGTACATTTTGCATATAAACATTTTCACTCACATTGTATCCCTATATTAAATGATCTGGATTATTGATGTATATAGTTAATGATTATATAAATAATTGGTCAGCTAAATAACTATGATGATGATAATTAAATGCTGAAATACATTAAAAATTGATTTACTATTGTTATTCTGATATTATGCTAAAAACAGACAATACTTTCTGGATGTCTAAATTTTGTTCTTTCTTATGATTTTATCATTAAACTTGGCCTGCCAATCATAATTAAATCTATAATCTCAATTTTCTATATTTAAATGATTTTAAATCAATGTAAATAGAAGAATTAGCAGAAGTAATTAAACCTTTTGTATTTCTTTGAAAAAAATTGATTTCAATTAATAATCAAACCCATTAATATTGACTGATAAATTCTAAAAATTATTACTTTATAACAATTCTATAAATACTTTACTACCAATATAATCATGCTATTGAATGAATAGAAATCTAATTTTATTATAGATTATTTTTGTTATATAATCTATTTTTTATTATTCTATAGTTCTCATTATTGAATCTATTGCTAGATAAAAGCATATTAGTAATTTTAAAGAGAGGCAACTTAAATAATTACCCCATTTAATTAAAATTCTCATTAGAGACTGTGATATCAATTAATTAAATATATAGTACTTGAATTAGTTAATTGATCCTAATCAGCATGAAATTACTAAATAAGTGATCTAGCTTCTCTAATTTAATTAATAAATTTAGAATAAATTATAAAAGAAGATGTATACTTATTATTAAATAATTTAACATTATGAGATATTAATTATTATTTTCCATAATCTTGAAATTAAATTTGAGTAATTAATTTAGAATAAATTACATCACAATTTTAGATTAAGAATATCTTAATTAATATGGTATGTAATTATTTAAAATTCATTTAGATTTGAATTGAAAGAACTCTAAATGTATTTCCAATATATAGCTTTATCTTCTGAAAATTTATCTTAATAATATGTATGTCTCAAAGTAGCCCTAAAGAAAAGCTTTCAAGATTTTATTACTAAATTAAATTATTCATTTTTACTTCTAAGACACAACTTATCTTAAAATACAAATTTGGTAAAATTTCTCTCATTTCTTAAAAAACTTGTCCTTTACAATTTAACTCTCTATGTTATTTAGAAATTGGAATTTTAGAATAATAGTAACTTAATCCTTCCCTAAGATCCATATTACTAATTTTTCCTGATATACCTTCAATAAGTTCTATTAAATTTTTACCAAATGCAGGAATGAACTAACTTAAATTATATAAATACCATTTATGAGCCATTGATTAATCAATCTGAAGTTATCTTATTTCATAAGACTCTTGATTATATAAGTAAAAATCATGGGTAAAGGATTTCAATTCTTAATTTAGAGTGATTTAATAAACTAAGAATGAAAAATCTTATTATTTTTCTGTAAGAATATGCATAGTTTAATAGACAAGGATATTATCATCAAAAGAAGCATAAAATTGTGAATATTTTTCCGTAAACCCCAAGCGTAATCTAAGGAAACTAATTATGATAATTCTTATTCAATTAATTTATCTCCTATAACTGGTGTAGTGATAGTTTTTAATAATTCAAAAGTGGAATAAACTAATTCAATCCTATGCTATCTTTTAACAAAAATTACAATATCAAATGAACATACAGTTATGCAAGTTTAATTTACACTAATTAATGATTATACTTGGAATTAAGTTCCAAAATATATAGATTTCAAACCAAAAAAAGATCAATCATAAAAAAGTAAAATATAATTAAATAAAACTTCCTGGTTGAATTTAGATATTGTAGTTCATTTTTAAACAACATTGATTTTTGGAGAAATTAATAAAGAAGTAATGAAATAAAACTATTTGTTGATAAACTTGAAATCTATAATAATAAGAGCACTTAATTTATTGTATTTAATTTTTATGTTGAAATATAATTATATTTTCTAATATTTATATAAAATAAATGATGATAATTATTTTAAACATGAATATCTTGAGAACATTATATTGTTATTTACTTAAATAGTATTTTTAACAAGAAATACCTTTTAAATATGTAAATTAAGATATTTAGTATTTTAGAAATAAGATTAAAAGAGATAATTTTTAAACTTTGTTGATATATTAAATAAAAAAGATTTAAGTATAGATGATACCTGACACGTATTGATGATCAAAATATAAATGTTATTTATTAATTTGATTATTCATCTTTTTATCAAGAACATATTAGTAACATTTTTATATAAACTCTTACTGTAAGATAATATAAATATGAAATATAAATTAATTAATTTTTATATTATACGAATCAAATTTATTAGTTTTCTTTAAATTAATATATTTAGAATTGATTAGTAATATCATCCCATGTAACCATGAATTCTCCATCATCTGTCATCCTACCAAACATATATTTTGTTTTTAAATTAATTGCTGATTATAAAACAAACTCACTTTTTTGATTAATTCTAATTAAATTTATATGAAATCCATTTTTATTCATTAAAATCAATCTTTGATTTATAAATTTATTATGGAAAATTATGAAAACAAAAATCTCCATTTAAAATTTAAAAAATCTTTAGTTTAAATAAATTAATTGGCCTATTCATTATATTGATAATCATTATATTTCATTAAACTATAAACTTTTTATTACCAAGCTGATAATTTTATTATTTTATGATTGCCAATCTTTTATACAATCCACGAAAAATATGAGAATTATGACATTTTAATTAAACAATTTATAATTGATAATCAGTCATTTATTCTAAACAAATTACACAATCAACTATTTTATTTAATATTTGAAAAGGATATAAATGTTATTGAATTTTTATTTTTGTTTCTTTTTAGACTCAATCTATAATTTGTAGAAAGCATATCTGTTTTAATTGAAATTTATATTTCAACTGATATTTCTATAAATTATAAATTAATTTATTAGAATTTTTGATCCTAAAAAACATAGGTTTAATTTTACAAAAACACTTAAAAATTTAAATCTCAATAAAATGGTTTTAGAATATACTAAATAATCATCAGGGCTAGTATTACTAATTAAAATAGTCCACAATCAAAATTTATGAAAATATCAAAATAATATTTATTATTTTTCTACACCTTTATAATGAAACAATAAAATAGTTTATTTTTTAAATTCTTAGTCTTTAATTTAGAATTTATAAACGAAACATAATCATCTAAATATATATTTTAATCTTTAATTGATTATTTATAATTGATATTTTAATAAATTAAATTATAATGATTAATTTAATAGATAATAAGAAATAGAAAAAGATATTTGATCCAATTAATAGTTAAGAAGTTTAATTATGATAAGATGCTATAATTATACCTGATATTATTGATTTACTAAAATTATTAAAAATAAATATTATAGAAAATATCTTGGCTTTATTAATTGTTTTTTGAATATCTAAAATATTTATATATAAATACTGATATCAAAATATTTGTAATATAGTTATCAGATAATATTATAAAAAAATAATATGTTGGAATTGAACATACTTAATAGATTAAGAGAATAAAAAACAATAAATTGAAGAATTCAAATATAATTAAAGTTTAAGCTATCATTAAACTCAGTAAGCATATAATAGAAAAGAAAATATAATTTATTTATTTCACACTAAGCATTGGCTTTTCAATTATCACACTAATTATATCACGGAATAATTATCCTGATGATGTCTCTAAATGTGAATCATTAAATTTTATATATAGAAAATCTTAGATTATTAATATCATAATGATTAATATGTAGATATATATTAATTTAATGATCTTAAATTATTATAGAAGTAATAGAATTTGATAATAGTTTTATAGATCTTCTAGTTGAATTCATATACTTTTATCTTATTATGAACATTTTTTTAACATTTATAAATTATTTTTGTAAATATAATTTTACATTCTAAGTGAGAATATAGTATTATAGCGCATAAATTATTAATTCATCAGAATGATTTCTTACATATATATATATATAGTTTTAATTAAGATGAATACAAATTAGATTAACATTAAAACATAGTATTCAAACTTTATATATGGTTATTACTAAAATTAAGATTAGATTCTTTGAAAGCTTAAATATATTTTATTCTTACTTGTTTTATACCATATTTATATTTATTATTAAATATTATTATTTTTAATCATCTATTTCTGTTCATGATATTTCCTTTTAAAAATAAAATTGAAATGAAATGTATATTATTTAGAAGATTACAATATAAATGTTGTTATATGTAGATATTATCTATGTTAATGATCACCTAAGAGTGGCTTAGGTTGTATAAGAGATTAATAATATCATTTCATGCTTTTGAAATAATTTCTTATTGGATAAATACCTCACTATTAATTAATTGGTATTAAGTTAATAATTATAGTAGTATGAATTAAGTAGAGATGTAGGTATTGGAAGCAAATGCAGTAATTGATGTTCATCTTAAAATTAATGATGATAAATCAATTGTCTTTGGATATATGTTAATTTAAAAACAGAAGAGTTCATAATGTTAAATTATTTATATTAATTATAAAAATATCATATATTTTATGTATATTTTGGAAACTAACCAATGATAAATAAATAATTACTTTAAAACTATTCATACATGCTTATGAGGTAGTAATTTCTTTGACAGAACCTCCTGGTGCCTTTAATTTTATGATTATATTAGGACAAGTACTAATTGACATGATTTCAAAAGGGATCTTTTTTGATTATTATAAATTTTATCCTTAAGTTATTTGGAACATTGTTCCTTAATAGTTGCATTAACTGTAGAATTTAACTGTTAAACAATTATTTGCAACAATAGTATTGAGAAAGAGTACTTTTATAAATGAAATTGTTGGTTAGAATTATGCAGATAAAATATTTGTAAATTGATTGCATTTCTAAGTTTAAATGACTGATTGTTTCACACCTCTATAGTTTATTTAATCAAATAGATATAATATTCTATGTTTTGGAACACTTATGGAACGAAAAGGTTTAGTCCATCCTATTGCTTGTAAATCAGGTATTTTATCACATATAATGATAGTATCACCATTGAAATCACATTCAGAAAAAAGTTCAGCACAATATGGATCAAAAAATTTGAAATTTTGATCATATATAAAAATTCCTCCTTAATAGTAAACTCTGTAAATTATAGAAGTTGACCCTAATGATAATTTTTATGTGTTACAAGTTGATAGTGTAAATGATATTTTAGTATTCAATACAACATTTGTATATGTTAATCTAATATTTTCAAAATTCATGATTTCGTACCCTCTAATTGTCACATGAGGAATAAGTTAATAATTTCCCGAAATCTATGGACAATCAATTGTCAATTAAAGATCGTAATTTCCATTCCCTCTTGAAACGAATGGATGACCTGGAGCATTGATTAAAGCCTACATAGGAGATGACCATAATGATTCGCTAGTACCTATAAGTACATTTAATTTTATAAATTCCAATTATGATTGAGAATATGTCCTTACAGATACAATAATATATTATGATGTTAACTCTGCAATCTAATATTATAAAATTAACAAAATTTACATCTATTTCAATTGTTGAACTATAAGATGAATGTTTAACTCCCATTAGTGATATTATACCATTTGTTGCATCTTCTAAATCATGTTCAATCTTGTATTATACTTCTCTTTAACCTGTACCAGTTTTTAATTCTTAAACATCCCATGTTTCTAAAGTGATAACTAAAATTCTAAGATCAAGAATAGCAATCCAATAAATATGTAATTCATAAAGAGGATTTGGACCTACTGCAATCCCACTAATTTTGAAACCTTTAGATTGATTATTATATTCAATTACCAGTTGTTGTGATATAACTTACTCTTTCAGAAAAGCCACCAGGCATTGCTAGATGCCAATCGACTTTTTAAGTTTGTATAAAAACCTAAGGAGCATATTTAAAAACGATAGAGAATTGGATATCAATTACTACTTATCTTGGGACTGTAGATTAAGATTCTAAAATATGGCCAGTGCTAAATATCACTATAACTTGATGTCCTTAATTAAACTATGGTGTCCAAAAGTTCTACACTAGGTACAATAATGCAATAAGAACAATAAACTTCATAATAATTTATTTATTTTATATATTAGAATTTCATCAAACATTTTTAACTATATAATATATATGGTTTTTAAAAAATGAATGCAAATATGTAAGAAAATTTACTTTTAATAGAACATAGATCAAAATGAACTCAAATAATAGATATTTTTTGAATAAATGGTGTAACAGTAATATGAAAAAATGGTTTTATTATTGAAATAATTTATTGATATTTCTTAACTTATTGTTTTTCTAATGGTTGATATATTCATAATTATTATCATTTAAGCGATTTTTGTATTAATTTAAATTTTTAGTATTTATATTAATAATTCAAAATAATATTTGATTTAAATAATTTTGAAGCATAAAGATAAAATTAAAAATCCAAACTCAATAAGTTATTTCTTGAATTAAACTAGATTTACAATAAATAATCAAATACTCTTTAAATTCAAAATCCAAACAATAATTTTCATTTATAGATTAGAACTTAAATATTTACATTATCTTAGAGTTTCTAGATATAAAGATCTGTTTTAGATTTCGATTTTTGAGCATACATACAAATATATGTGTAATTAAATTTTTACATCAAAAAATAAATTAGTTGAATGATTCATAGAACAATTTAGAATAAGTACTCGGAAGATATAATTAATAAGGACTTATTGAAAACACATTAAAATTTCCAAAATGATTTGGTAAAGCTAAGAAAAGCAGATTTTGATAAAATAAGAATGTACTAAAGACCACCTTACCCTATATCAAAAATTATTTCATTAGTTTATATCCTTTTGGATTCAAATATTAAATAAGATTGTGAAAATCAGGTAGATTGCTAAAAGATTTTGAAAGATTTTAAATTAACTATTATACTTTTAAGTAGATAATATTTATGATTCATAATTGAAGTTACTTTAAGCCATATACAATGTTAATGCTTAATAAATTTAAAGTATATCAAGGGGTTGTTATGGTTTTTATCAATATTTAAAATCAATCGTTGAAATAAGAGAATCTAAATATTACATTATAAATAATCAAAAATTAAATTTAGAGAAATAAATGAAATCAAATGCAAAATTAATTGAAATATCAAAATGAGATTGATAAATTAATATTAATATATCAGATTTATATTTCTTTTTTTCCACCTTTATATAGGTATTTATATTATATAAAAATTATGATCAGAAAATATTTTTATTATTTAATTTAAAGGAATCATTAAATGAATAACAAAATAGAGTGTCTAAAAGTTTCACACATTTTTAATTGATTATTAATGTTTATTCTTGGATAGTCTTCACTAGATTCAATAACTAATATATTAAATATTGATCTACAAACTTATTCTATTGATTATAAAAAAAGGACATTTAATATTTATTATTTTACTTTATATAAACTGTAATTCTAAAAAACAAAGCAAATATAAATTGTTACTTTTTAGAAAAAATAGGCATCTATTATTAAGGATTTATGGAAATATATAAATAAAAACAAATTAATCTACTTAATTAAACAAGATTGGTGTTAAAGCCTTATATAGTTTTATATTGTAGAAATTCCTGATAAGTATAATATTATTTTTCAATCTATTAAAAGTTTTGAATAATATTGAAATGAAAAAATTGTAGCGAAGATAAAAAAAAACTTCATTGAAAAATTATATTCTCAAACTTTTATTCAAAATCAATTCATTTCAAGATTCTATCTATCCGTTTTTGTTATTATTTAATCATATTTCTTTCGTTTTTTTTAAATATTATAGTTTGAATAAGTATTAAAGATATGGCTTATTACTATAGTATCCTATTTTAGCTATTAAATGTTTATATATTTCTCTTGATTTTATACACTATCCTCCAAAGTAAGCTTTAAAAATAGTATAATTGTGATCTGCATAAAGAATCAATATTGAAGTGCAATAATATAATAATCTACAAATCATATTTACATTCAGATTCATTACTAAGAGTTTGGAATAATACAGAAAGAAATTTGTTTCTTGTTAGTAGTATTGATGCTATAGGGTTTTAATTAATCAAATTTCATTTCAAGAAAAGCGATTTTGTTTTAAAAAGAAAAGTAATTTGTTATTTAATCAAATCAATAAGGTATGGAAAAAAATTAGAATAAACTTCTTAATATGTTTAAAAGTATAAAAATAATTTATTTAATCTAGGAAAAAATATCACAAATCATAATAGATTGGAACTGCTAAGAAATGAAATTCATTTTCTCAATTTAAGATCAAGATGTATTGAGTTAAAGAAATAGAGATATTTACAATGTTGACAATTAGAATATATTTTAAATTTTATTCTGTTTAATTATAATAATTCTCAATTCTCTAATTTGATTTCCTCTATTATAGTTTTCTTTATTGAATCCGATAGGGCTAAGAATTCAAAATCACATCCATTCATTCCTACACACATTAGAGTAGTAGGGGGACGTGAAGGACGTGAAGGAGGTTAAGGATATGAAGGAGGGTCATTAGCTGGCTAATAATATGGCTTTGGCATCTCCTTTGAATATTGTATTTTTTTCTCTTATGATTGTTAATTAGTTTCTTTTTCCTGATCTAATTTCTATTTTAGGTATGACATAAAATTATTAATAAACTTGTATATCAATTAACTCGAATTTATAGTAAAAATTATTCTATTTAATTACTAATTTCTTTTCATTTCTTAATCTAATTTATATCTCTTTCTATCATGAAATATTAAGAGAAAATTATAAAAGAAATAATTTTCAACTAATTTTAATTTTCCTGTTCAGAAATTGATGAATGGTTTCCATTTTATAGTGATTATTTATAAAAACTCAACCTAGATCCAGATGATTTTAATGTTTATTTATTGTGATTTTAGTTATAAGGATTGCTAATTGTAGTATAATTTATATTTATGGTAGTATTTATTAAATAAAAAAAATATTTTAAGTCACTAAATCAAAGACAATAACAAAAATATCAAATAACCATTTCTTTTGATTATCTTTCTTACAAATAATTATTTAGTTTGAATCATCACAAGAAACCAAAATATTTTCTGATTAACTTTAACCTAAGCTACTAATATCACTAGTATGTTTATCAAACAAGTACAATCAGTATGCTATTAATAGAATTCAAAGCTCTTGAATTCTTTATCGTTAGGTTAATTCCAGCAACAGATTGATTTATCAAAATCAGTCGATAAGAAACCATTAACTAATTTATAGAAAATGAATTTATCATTATGCCCTCTAAGGGTATTAAGTTCATTAAAAATTCTATGATTAATTAAAAATGAAAGGCTCTTATCATGAGTAACCCAAATCAATTTAATGAAAATGCATAACATTCATTTTTTTATTCAATTATATTATCCAATAATTTCATAATGGTGATAAATACTTCATAAATTAAAATTTAATTCTTCGTTTTAAATAAATAATTAATTACCTTTAAAGCTATTAAAAACCTTAAAGAATTTTATTTCTATGAATCTACCTTTAAAAATGCAAAAAGTAATATCAAAAATTGGCTAATCACAAATATTAATGAAAAGTACTGATACCTTCTGTCAATCAAAGAATGAGTTAATAAGTTAAGATCTATTTAGAGAATTTATATTGTTTAATATTAGGTGATAGTTATATACACAAAGAAAGTTGTTTATTTCAACAATTGCTAAAAACACAAATATCATATTTCTCCTCCTTACAATAGTTCAATCCAATTAAAAGCATCTGGAATTTGATGAAAAAATAAATAGTTAAATCATCACTTTGCACTAACTCAAATCTAATTAATGTATAAGTTGTGATTATGGATTACCTACAAACAACATTTGACCAATCAACCTATCTAATTAATATTATGAGAAACAATATGGATACAGAGATATTTGTAAATTAAATAATCCGTTATATACTAATGGATTTTGTTAATATTATCCAATTTCTTTATTGGAAGATAATTGTGTTTAAGATGATTAAATTTTCTGGTTTATTATGTATGACCTGTTACATATCGATACATCTCCAAAAATAATAGGATCTAGTTTATATGAGGTTTTTAAGTTTAATTCTGGTACTTACTCTAATTCAATTTATACAGTTGGGTATTGCATTACTATTGTAACTTTTAATGATTTTTCCCTTAATTGTGAAATTTAGTTTTGAATTAATAAGGCTTATTTGGTTCAATTATTATAAATGAATCAGGAATTCAAATATTCAATATTAAAATCTATTAAAGTAGTCACTACTACTCATAACTAAATTATACTTAAAAAAAGATGTATTCATTAATTACATACGTTTAAATTCCTAAATATCCATTTATTTTCTCAGCAATAAGAAATTATTCGTAATTATTAACATTTTTTTAATTAGTGATAGCACAGCAGGCTAGGGATTGTATTTAGTTTATAATAAATCAGGATTTTGTTCATCAGGCTGNAAAAATTCTATGATTAATTAAAAATGAAAGGCTCTTATCATGAGTAACCCAAATCAATTTAATGAAAATGCATAACATTCATTTTTTTATTCAATTATATTATCCAATAATTTCATAATGGTGATAAATACTTCATAAATTAAAATTTAATTCTTCGTTTTAAATAAATAATTAATTACCTTTAAAGCTATTAAAAACCTTAAAGAATTTTATTTCTATGAATCTACCTTTAAAAATGCAAAAAGTAATATCAAAAATTGGCTAATCACAAATATTAATGAAAAGTACTGATACCTTCTGTCAATCAAAGAATGAGTTAATAAGTTAAGATCTATTTAGAGAATTTATATTGTTTAATATTAGGTGATAGTTATATACACAAAGAAAGTTGTTTATTTCAACAATTGCTAAAAACACAAATATCATATTTCTCCTCCTTACAATAGTTCAATCCAATTAAAAGCATCTGGAATTTGATGAAAAAATAAATAGTTAAATCATCACTTTGCACTAACTCAAATCTAATTAATGTATAAGTTGTGATTATGGATTACCTACAAACAACATTTGACCAATCAACCTATCTAATTAATATTATGAGAAACAATATGGATACAGAGATATTTGTAAATTAAATAATCCGTTATATACTAATGGATTTTGTTAATATTATCCAATTTCTTTATTGGAAGATAATTGTGTTTAAGATGATTAAATTTTCTGGTTTATTATGTATGACCTGTTACATATCGATACATCTCCAAAAATAATAGGATCTAGTTTATATGAGGTTTTTAAGTTTAATTCTGGTACTTACTCTAATTCAATTTATACAGTTGGGTATTGCATTACTATTGTAACTTTTAATGATTTTTCCCTTAATTGTGAAATTTAGTTTTGAATTAATAAGGCTTATTTGGTTCAATTATTATAAATGAATCAGGAATTCAAATATTCAATATTAAAATCTATTAAAGTAGTCACTACTACTCATAACTAAATTATACTTAAAAAAAGATGTATTCATTAATTACATACGTTTAAATTCCTAAATATCCATTTATTTTCTCAGCAATAAGAAATTATTCGTAATTATTAACATTTTTTTAATTAGTGATAGCACAGCAGGCTAGGGATTGTATTTAGTTTATAATAAATCAGGATTTTGTTCATCAGGCTGTTAATTGTGTGAAGTATATAGAAAAAATTTAGTATAATTATATCATTTAAATTTAAGATTTGTTAACAAAGATACTAAAATAATTACATGCATCAGTAATTGTTTATAACGATATTAAAATTAAATGATTCTTATTGTTGAGATTTTTATGATGAAACACCTTGTAAACTTTATATATATTTAGATTCTTAATATTTAACTTATGACTTTTTAGATGAAACACACTACCCTGAATAATGTACACAAAATATATAAAATTGTTGAAAGTAATTATTTCATGTATATCTACATAAATCAGTTTAAAAGTAAGACCTGTTATAGCAAATAATATGAAGAAGCTGGACTTACTATTTAAATTAAATTTTGAAATAAAATAATTAATTCATCAAACATAATTTTACATTCTAAAACTCATACAAACATCCAATAATTAAAATTGAATGAAAAATTTTATCCAATTTTGAAAAAGATTTTAATTTAAAAACTAATCCAATAATAGTTATACATTTTTTTGTGCTATTCTTAATAATTTTTTTCTTGTTATTTGCAACAATTTGCTTTCAAATTGAATTGTTGGAAAAAAAAAATTTCAAAATAATAATGTGCACAAAAATACCTGAAGTTAAATTATTTATAATAAGATTTACTATTAAAAAAATTAATTAAAACATGCTTTTAAATAAAAATAGTTAAATTTTTACTTGGCTTTTATGAAATCAAAATAAAATTGAATTTTGCAACTTATAGGAATGATGGCTGGAATTGCTTTCAACTATAACAAAAAGTTGGAAATGCTATGAACCAAATAATGAACCAGTTAATGCTTATTTTGGATTTTATAATTATTATATAACTGTTCTTAAATGCTAATCTTATTGTTTATAATGCTTAAATGCATGCACATAATGGAGTAGCAACTATGATGCAAATGTTGGAAAATTCTCATAAGAAGTGAACTAAATTATATAATATTTTGATAAAGATAATTTAAGGTATTTGGATTGCCCAACATCTTGATTAACGTGTACATCTAAAATGGATTTTTAAACATGATAATCTACTAATATATAATCTAAAGTGAATCAATATGAAGATTTGAATCTATGATTTGATTGCCCAATTGAATGTAACTAGAGTTTAAGTACAAACAACTGTATAGAATTTTTAGTTACAAATAATAGATAATTGAAAAATCAATACTATCTAATTTTATAGAATCCTTAATTTTAAAGATGTCATTAATTTTGTAACACTTACTCTGGACCTATTTATGATGATTATTTAAGTTACAAAAATATTGTTAAAATTGAATATTTGGGATCAACATGTAAATGTCCATTAGGATTATTTTTTAAGGCAGTAACAAATTCATGCTTCTTATGTTATTCATCATGTTAAAATTTTTTTCAAGTAACTGTTGATAGCTTTGTAAGTTGTGAAACATCTTTAAATAGAATATTAAAAGGATTATAATGTGTATGTGCAGTTAGTTATTATGAATATAAATAGTATGTGTATAAGTATTTAAATTATTATTCTTTTACAGAAGATATTTTGTTAAGTACATGTTATAAATTATGTACTAATAATGAATAATTATGGCATAATTCATATTCAAAGCTAGATGATTTGAAATCTATTCTATTTTTGAATGGAGTGAATTGTGTATTAAATACAATACACAATTAATTTTATATCTGCATTTTAAATGGTATCTTGAAATAGTAAATTGACTACTTTATATGATTCATTTTTAAACCTTACACAGGATTCTAATTACTAAATGTGCAAAATGTAAAAAACCTCACTCATTTAATCAGTAGAAATTACTGTGTGTTATAAAATCATAACCTTCATGTTCATAAACTTTTAGTTTACTTGGTAACTATAATGATATAGTATTAATTTTTAAACAAATATAAAATTCTGTAAGTGTATTTGTCTTTTGAATCTAAAACATCAATTATTGATCCTATTTTATTTACAATTGGATGTAATGGACTTAATCATAGTTGTTATAGTTGTATTAACTGTTAAGTGAATTCCAAAATATCAATTGAAATTTTAACTATATCATTACAATAAGAAATCTAAAGAAAAAAATTGGAAAAATGATCTTCTACTATATATAAGAAATAGATGATAATTTACAATAATTTTCTTTATTTATTAATATAAATATTCTCTATTGATTATGTTACTTATTATAAATTGAAGGATTATTAATTTGCTTGTAAATTTTGTTAATCAATTTATGAAATATTCAATAATCTCTTTATTAAAGATTGTCCTGACTCTTTGTGTTTCATGTATTAAAATAAATAATGAAAATATATGGGTTAAATGTCTAGATTGTATCAATGGTGAATTCTTGTTACTTCTTGATAATGAATTTATTCAATGTCAAATTAGTTAATTAATAGCGATCAAGATGGCTAATTAAAAATAATAGATCATTATCAAGAATTCAAATGATGTATTAAATTATTAAATATTGATAATGATACTGTAGGAGCATTTATTATAATTGACTAGAGAACTTAAATATCCAATATTGAATTAATCTCAAATAAAGTATAGAATCTAATTCTACTACTCTTTAATTTAAATAGAACGATTCTGTAGAATTATAGTATATAAAAATTGTTTCAAAATTTTAATAAGCATCATTTTATATTTAATTACATTCTAATCACATCTACTTTTATTGTGAAGTATAAATTAGGTATATGATAATTTGATGATGAATAATATCTAAATCTAATATGATAAAATGTAGTGAAACCAATCCAAATCAATATTATAGCAGTCTTTTTAATTTGGATATTCATCATTAATAAATATATAATTTAAAATATCATTCAGTTTGATTTTGATGATTAATATTCAATTTTGATGGCTCTTATTGTATTCTAAATAAACTATTTATTTACTATTCAATTCAATAAAAAGAATTTCTTGATTTAAGATAATTTTTATTGTAACAATCAATCTGTATGATGATTATCAACTAATTAATAATAAAAATACTACTGATAATATTATGTAAATTTAAAGCTAAATCCATATAAATTCAAAAATCAATATTTGGATATTGTATCTTGATGTATAATTTAATAGTTAAAATACCTAGATAGACCATCTAATTCTAGTTTAATTAATATTAACTTAAATTTTATCTTAATTGCTCAAATTGGTTATTTATTATTAACCTTTAGTATCGAATTCCTCTTCTCATATTCTAGAGAACTTGAATCAATAAATAAATCAGAAATAATATATGACTTCTAAATAATCATAGAATAAAGATCATATATAACTATTTATTTGTCTATTATGAGGTTTGTCCTTTTATTTAAATATAAATACTTTGATATTTTCTTCCATTTTTTCTAAATAATATAGTAAATGATCTATGATTATAATTTTTGTTCATTTTAACATATTGTTCTTTATAGAAAAACACTGCTTTATTGAAGGACGATTGTAAATTCATATAAAATGATTTAGAATTTTATATAGTTAAGAACTATTTTGAATGAGAATAATAACTTAAAATTAGGAGATAATCAAGCTTAAATACCTTCTTTATTATCAATAACAAAGAAAAATGAAGGATAATTTACCAAAAATCATATTATTGAATAAAATAATCTATTTATAGATTGGCATTAAATAGATAATTATGATATATAAATAAATTATTCCAAAATTTCATATTAATAAATTCTTCATCTTTAAATTATTCAGCTACTTGAAAAAGAATTCTACCTTCAATATGACATTTTTTATAAATAACCAATAGTATAAATTTAAATTTTGATAATAAATTAATAACTGCCAATCTTTGGCTTGTAAATTTAAATTAAATATCGTTCTTAGCCTATTATATAAAGCAAAGAAATATGAAGGCTTTTTGAATGCATAATTAATTTAAGAGACATCTTAAAAAATCATTTTTAGGTTTCTAATTGAAAAATTTTCACAAATTAAGGCCTATTAAAAAATAGTAAATCTAATAAAATTCTTTAGTGTTGAGTTAACAAAAAAAATGAACAACAATAAACCCTTTTAAATTGATTTCTTGTTATCATTTTTAAAATAGATAGATAAAGGCTCTTATAATGAGAAGTAATCCCTGAGAAGCTTTTATTAATGTTATTAAAATTAAATTAATAAGAAAATATAATATAAACCTTCAAAAGAAAATTTATTAGTAAATAATGCTAATTATTAAATATTCTCTATTTAATGTATTTATGAAATAATGTTTTATGTATTAATCAAACTATTATTGTTATTTGATGCAAATAATATAACAGAAACAAAAAATATTAAATTTTTGTGCCATCTAATTCAGTGAAGATATAAATTTTGATATTCCATTATTGAAAATCAAATTTAGGCATTGATGATAAGTATTAAATTCATAGCACTCAATTTTGAAATCAATAAAATCTAAATCTGATTTAATTCAGAAATATAGCTTTTATAATCTTATCTTAAGTAATTAACTTTAAAATTAATCAATTATAAAAATCTACTCCTTAGGTATTTCTCAAAGCAATAAAACGAGTTGTTTGAAGATTTTATATCTACTAAAATATATATATATTTATTAATCCTGCCAATATTCTTACTTCTAAGATTACACTTCTTAAGTTTTTGGAGTAAAGTTTGATTAAATAGATGTATTTTATCCTCTAAACTTTTCTATCCAAAAATATAATGAATTTTTACTTAAAATTAAAAAAAATAATAAATTTTAAATAAGATAGAAATGATTTATAATGAAACTTTGTTAAATATAATAAATATAAGAGAGTAATATTTATAGTACATATTATGGATAAAATTTATATAATTTCAATTAAAAATATTGTTATTTTTTTTTGTCAAAATTTGGAACATGAAGGAAAACAAACTATATGTTTATGCCTTTCTGCTGATCAAGGAAGATAAATCTTAATTATTTTTAAAAGTTAAATCAATCATTAAACACATTTAAACTTTAGAAATGATTGCAAACAATTTGATGAAGTCATCATTTTATTAGATATAATTTTTATAAAAGCTGAAGAAAATGTTACAAGAATTGATAAGAATTATGAAGAGCCTAAGTTCCTATATAATTAAGCAATCAAGAAATTATAAAAGAATTTCGTAGGTTTCAAGAAATAATTTTAAATTTGAAAGAACTATGATTCAAAGTTTTTTTATAATAATATTCCTAGCTTAATATAATGGAACGTGATCCTATAATCCTATGAATATTCATACATTTAACTATTAGAAAGAGGAAATGGAATTAATAATCTAGAGGGAATACTAGTTTGCTTTAGTAAAATTTGAAAAAGTTTTAATAGATGATACAGAAAACCTTTATCAAAGTTTTTTAATGTATAAAAATATCAAATTAAGATGCTGCATTATTTTTTTTATTTTGATGGCTTGCTAATCTAATGCAATCAATTATAAATATTTATATTCATAATAAAAATTAATAGAGTTCATATCATTTTGAACTTTGACCATTTACAATAAACATCTGAATTATCATCTTATTTTTTTGATGCAATATGCTACAGAAAAAATTGGATTTTGTTATAAAAAGAGAGAATTTATTATTTTTAAATCTTTTTTATATAGCAGTGAAAGAATTTAATTATGAATATCGAATGAGTGAAACAACAACAATATATAGCATTTAAAGAAATTAATAATTAACATAATCAATATTTAAAAAAAATCCTTTAAAGTAATCTCATTAAATTTGAAAGGGGATTGATTAAATATTTTCTACATTTAATTGTGATATTTCTTAAATTAAATTCTATTAAATTAAATGTATAACTATGAGATGAAGTTTAGATATAAAATAGTGCTTATAGAATTTATAATTAACCGATAAACTATTATTTCCTCTTAGACTGATTTTATATAATGATTTTAGCCAATAAATTTATTTGCATTTATTTTTAACTTAACATCCCTAAATTATTTAGTCTAAAATTATTAATAAAATTTCTGCATACAAATAATTAGAAAAAAAAAATTGGAAAAATGACTTTTTTCAATGAATAAGATAATTCTTAACTTCATTAATTAATCATTTTAAGAATATTTATTGTATATTTACTTAAATAAAATAATATTACAAATATCTATCAACAAAATTATTATGTTTAAATTAATTTTTTTATTGGCAAACGTATACATTTATCAAACTTTAGCATTCAATAAATGGATTAAATGAATATATTGTTTGGAATNTGTTACAAGAATTGATAAGAATTATGAAGAGCCTAAGTTCCTATATAATTAAGCAATCAAGAAATTATAAAAGAATTTCGTAGGTTTCAAGAAATAATTTTAAATTTGAAAGAACTATGATTCAAAGTTTTTTTATAATAATATTCCTAGCTTAATATAATGGAACGTGATCCTATAATCCTATGAATATGAATAAAAGAAATCATTAATCTCTATATTCATACATTTAACTATTAGAAAGAGGAAATGGAATTAATAATCTAGAGGGAATACTAGTTTGCTTTAGTAAAATTTGAAAAAGTTTTAATAGATGATACAGAAAACCTTTATCAAAGTTTTTTAATGTATAAAAATATCAAATTAAGATGCTGCATTATTTTTTTTATTTTGATGGCTTGCTAATCTAATGCAATCAATTATAAATATTTATATTCATAATAAAAATTAATAGAGTTCATATCATTTTGAACTTTGACCATTTACAATAAACATCTGAATTATCATCTTATTTTTTTGATGCAATATGCTACAGAAAAAATTGGATTTTGTTATAAAAAGAGAGAATTTATTATTTTTAAATCTTTTTTATATAGCAGTGAAAGAATTTAATTATGAATATCGAATGAGTGAAACAACAACAATATATAGCATTTAAAGAAATTAATAATTAACATAATCAATATTTAAAAAAAATCCTTTAAAGTAATCTCATTAAATTTGAAAGGGGATTGATTAAATATTTTCTACATTTAATTGTGATATTTCTTAAATTAAATTCTATTAAATTAAATGTATAACTATGAGATGAAGTTTAGATATAAAATAGTGCTTATAGAATTTATAATTAACCGATAAACTATTATTTCCTCTTAGACTGATTTTATATAATGATTTTAGCCAATAAATTTATTTGCATTTATTTTTAACTTAACATCCCTAAATTATTTAGTCTAAAATTATTAATAAAATTTCTGCATACAAATAATTAGAAAAAAAAAATTGGAAAAATGACTTTTTTCAATGAATAAGATAATTCTTAACTTCATTAATTAATCATTTTAAGAATATTTATTGTATATTTACTTAAATAAAATAATATTACAAATATCTATCAACAAAATTATTATGTTTAAATTAATTTTTTTATTGGCAAACGTATACATTTATCAAACTTTAGCATTCAATAAATGGATTAAATGAATATATTGTTTGGAATTCCTTTTATAGAAAAGATTCTGTTAAATATATAGCACAGTTGAATTAAATTATTATGTATTCTTCAAAAGACTCACCATTCACTATAAAAAATTATAGTGAAAGTACTGAAGATAGTTGTAATAAAGTTTAGAAAGCAATACAAGTATTTTATATAATTTTCTATTAGCCAAAATCTTCCTATTATAATATTGGCTAATCAATTAATCAATTTTTTTAGGATTCGGTTTTACCTAGTCTTCCCAGTGAGCCTTTACTTATTTTTGAAAAAGCTATCATCACTATTAATAAGTAATTAACAATTCTTTAACAAAAAATATATAAGATAGATATATTAAGATCCTATTAGAATAAATAAAAGTAGTAAAGATGACTTACAAATTGATAGGAGATTATGTTGTTATCATTTTCCTAAAGGGAATGGTTTAAATCTCATCTAATTTTTATCATTTATGATTAAAAGGATTCTAATAATAAAATTCAACAAACTTTTATTATTATTATTATTTATAAAATCAATTTATCACATTTCAAAATTAAAATTTAAGTAATTGATTTAATCACAAAAATCCTAAATTTTTGAAATGTCAATTTTAATAGTGAATTATTTGTAAATGACTGTTGTAATAGCTTTCAAAAATATTAGTTGATTTTAAATGCAGATTGAGCCTGGTTAGAAAAGACAAAGAATTAGTTTGAATAAGTAATCAATGCCAATTCTGAAAAATTGAATAAAAATGAAAGAGAAGATATCAATAATTAAGTATTATCATCTTATTTTGTCCAAGCTCCAAATAATTTTAAGGTTTTGCTCATGACCATATATATGTAATAGATTACAAGCCTTTTGTTTTTGAAATAACTATAGTTCTTGTGTATCAACCAAAGGTTATTTAAGAAATAACACACACTGTCACTGATCAAATTATTCCATAGCATAATTCTGCAATTTAACCCAGAATAGATTATAATTAAGCTTTGGAATATTGTTTTGGAATCGAATTAAAGCATAAAAACAATAAATAATTTTTGAGGAACTAATATTTATTCCTGTTGGAAGTAGACATTTCATCAGATCCTAGTTTAAAAAAAATGAAAAGTAATTGTTTTGTAAAAACTGATTTAATTTTTGTAACCTGGTTTGATTA